GGCTCCTCCCCCGCCGCCCAGCCCCGCGGGGAGACAGAGGCTCGTTTATTTACTCGGCGTGCTTCCGTGGGAGGCGCGGTGGCAGACCCGGGCCCCGGCGTCTGTCGGCTGGAGAGGGAGCGCAGAATGAGATGCGTAGAATTCTAGCTACAGAGGAACAAGTTAGAGGCCGGTGGGTTTTGTTTCACACAAGGTCTCCCCAGGTGTAGAATTCTCGATCCTCGTGTGTCTCTGGCTTCGGAGTAGCTGGGGCCACTGGCTGGCCCTCTCGCAGCCTCCTGTGATGTTCTGAGTGTTTATTTTCACGAGAAAGCCTTGACCTTAGGACTGCGAAGGCTCTTTTGGTTTCGTTTGGTTTAAAATAATAAGTCGAGACGCGGTGTGAGATCTGTTACCCAATACACGGAAGGGAGGGAAACCTTCGAAGAAGATAGAATAATAACTGAAGGCCGCTTTGACTGGAGGGCGCCTGGTGAGTACAGAGGGTGAATGAAGGTCACAGGAATTTGAGCTGAGGCGCAGGAGGGCGCCGTATGCTGTGAGACAGGAAGCAGGGCCTTGAGCCTTACTGGGTTTTGCCCTTATCTAATAATTAAAGGAAACGCATCAAGAGTTGCAGGCAGCTAGGCACGTGGCACATACCAATAATCCTGGGGTCAGACAAAAGGAATCCTGAGTTAGAGAAGCCAGTCCGGGCTACATAGTTAGACCCTGCCTGAAAAACTAAGAGGAGTGTGGTGGTGCACACCTTTAATCCCAACACCCAGGAGGCAGAGGCAGCCGAGTCTGTGAATTCCAGGCCAGCCAGGTATACATAGCCAACTCTAGGTCAGCCAAAGCCACATAGTGAGACACTATCTCAAAGTAAATAAAAAGAGGCAAAGGTTGAGCAGACACGAGATTTCAAAACCTGACTTAACGTTTTTGTTTGGGCTTGTCTGTAAGAGCTTATCTAGATTAGACTGAGGTGGGATGATCCCACCCTGGGTGGTGCGTGCTCCCAGTTTGTGGGCTGGGTTCCTGGACTACCTAAAAGGGAGAAAGCCAGCGGCGCACATTCATTCTCCTGCTTCCTGCCTGCTGAAAGTGATGTGTCCAGCTGCCATGACTCCTCCAACACACAGGACTGTACACTGGAACTGTGAGCCAAAATAGCCCTTCCTTCCTTAACTTGCTTTCCTCTGAGTGCTTTATAACAGTAACAGGAAAAACACCTAGTGCCTGGAGCTGTCTTTAATCCCAGCACCTGGGGAGGCAGAGAGTGTTTTATAACAGTAAAGGAAAAACACCTTTAATCCCAGCACCTGGGGAAGCAGAGACTACAATAGCGAATTTGAAGCCAGCCTATGTTATATGAGACCCTGTCTTAAAAAAGTCAAAATGAGGGGCTGGAGAGATGGCTCAGAGGTTAAGAGCACTGACTGCTTTCCCAGAGGTCCTGAGTTCCCAGCAACCACATGGTGGCGCACAACCATCTGTTATGAGATCCGGTGCCCTCTTCTGGTGTGCAGATATACATGAAAGCAGAATGTTGTATACATAATAAATAAAATTTAAAAAAAGTCAAAATGATTATAAGAGGGCTGGTATATATAAAGCCCAAGTGGTACAGTTACTGCCTAAGGTGGTGAGGCTTGAGTTCAACCTGAAAACCAATATATATGTATGTGTATGTTTTTTTCTTCAAAATCATTCAAGGGTAGGGGAAATTGGCAGGTATAGATGGTCAGTACATGGGGGCTCATTGTTTGACTCAGTTGACTTACCTATATTTGAGACAGTCGGAGGGGTGTTTTGTTTGTTTGTATTTTGGTTTGGTTTGGTTTTTTTGAGTCAGGCTTTCCCTGTATAGCTTTGGAGCCTGTCCTGGCAGTCACTCTGAAGACCAGGCTGGCTTCAAACTCACAGAGATCCGCCTGCCTCCGCTTCCGAGTGCTGGGCTTAAAGGCGTGCACCACCACTGCCCGGCTGATGATTTTTATTTTTTTAAACAAAATCTAGATGTGAGCACAAGCTTCTATTTGAAAATATCTAGTGACTACTCAACCCAACTCCACACTGATTTGGCCTCACCTGGTTTTCCTGACCCAATGTTGATTTCATCGCGTCTAATTTTACTATTATTGTTGTCATTCATCCTTTCAAATAACTAGTGTAAAACAGGGGCTCCCTGTGTAACTTCCACTGTCACGGAACTCACTTTGTAGACCAGGCTGGGCTCCAACTCACAGAGATCTGCCTCCTGAGTGCTGCGACTTAAGCTCTATGTTACCACACCTATTCTCATTTCCTTTTTATTTTGTTAGCTAGACATTCACTGATACTGACATTGTGAGTGATGTGGGAAGGTGGGGGCACATACCATACATGTGGATGTGTGTTCGAGGCCATCTTTTGGGGGTTGGTTTTGATCTCTGCCCCCAGTGCTGGGATTAAAGTCATGTGCTGCCAACACCCAGCTGAGACTAGGTTTTTTGTGCATAGCCCAAGCTAGACTTGAACTCCTGATCCTCTTGCCTCGGTTGGGGTAATTAGTGTGTTTCCCCATGCCCAACTATAACCATCTTTGCCTATGGTGCTCCTCAGCCTGGAGTGAGCTTCCTGCTTCTTGCTTCTCCCAGCAATTCATTTCCAGGTGTAGGTAGGTGTCTTCCCACTCAGAAAGCCTCTCTGAAGTGAGTTGAAGCAAACTGTATTGTACTGAAGTCTAACAGTTTCTGTTAAACTCTCAGCTCCTTCCCTTCCTTCCCACTTTTTCTTTTTTGCAGTGTTGGGGATTTTAGGCAAATGCTGCACCACTGTGCTACAACCCCAGCTCCTCAAAAATAGGGACCTCTGTATCACTACAGGTACTTGGCCCTCAGTGAGTGACTGTTGAATAAGTACTTGTCCATCTTTGCTTCCTAGTGCTCAGCGTGGTACAGTGAGTTCAGGTGTTTTTTGAATGGTGTTCAGATAATGGTTTTTGTTTTTTCTTTGTTTGTTTTGTTTTGTTTTTTGAGACGGGGATTCTCTGTGTAGCTTTGGAGCCTATCCTGGCACTCGCTCTGGAGACCAGGCTGGCTTCGAACTCACAGAGATCCGCCTGCTTCTGCCTCCCAAGTGCTGGGATTAAGGGCGTGCGCCACCAACGCCCGGCTCAGATAATGTGTTTTGTGAGATGGTCTGGGAAACTGATTTCCCCCCAATCTAAGGCCTGAATGGTAGTTTTTGGTAGATAGACTAGCATGTGTCATGAAGGACGGGGAATCACTCACATGATTTTCTCAGCTTTTGTGTCTTCTCTGCAGGCATGGTTTGCAGCTGGACCCCGACCCAGACCAGGAAGGCAACCTGCATCATGTGGTTACTAAATGCTCTTCATTTACCTATTGATGCCTCCCAAAAAGAGACGCCAAAGACAGTTGCACAAAGCCCAGCTGCTATTCCACCAACAGCCACTGGAGGGCCCCAAACACCATTATGAATCGCTCCAGCAGCCCATTACCCACACTGTACAGGTGCCCAGCAAGCCCATCGATCAGGGCACCATCACTTCCTGGGTAGGTCCTTTGACCTTTACTGTGTTAGGCTTTTCAGAATACTGACTCTTAATCCTCTTGGAGCGGGGACAGGGAAACAATTACTCTTTCTGTCTCTGGTAATCTGACCTGTCTGGTATGTCTACTTTTCTTCCTTCAGACCAAAATACATGTTATTTGGAATTGGAGTCTTCCCTGCCAGATTCTTCTGAATAGGTTCTGTGTGAGCATTTCGCTACCCAGTAGCTTAGTAAAGAAGCTAGAAAACTGGCAAACATATAAATGAGATTATTTCCTGTAACTCATGTGAAGAAAAGTACTCAGTACTCTGTGGTCAGATGGACGGAACCTTAGGGAGAAAAATCCTACAAAAATGGCATTATGAGGCACACTTCTAATCCTAGCATTTGGGAGGCTGAGGCAGAAGTAGCTCAAGTTGAAGGCAACCTGGACTGTCTGAAATGAGAAGGAAAAAAAATTCATAAGCATTGATTGAATAGACGTGGTGCACTAGGTCCCATCTCTGAACACAGTCTCACTTCCGGTCTGTAGCTGCCATGCATTCTTTGCTGAACAGTCTCACTTCCTGTCTGTAGCTGCCATGCATTCTTTGCTGAAGGCCTCTTGCTAGGAACTCTCCTAGGTCTTCGGGATAAGTCTGTTGGTCCCTGCCTTCTTGAGGGCTGAGTTTTGCAGGGGACTGAACTGCTGAGTATGCTAAGCATGGGTTCTACTCCCAGGGATCCTTCCAGCTCTGCTCTCATGAAGTTTAACGACAGCCATAATAATGTTGTGTGGTGATGACAAATAACCTTATCTCCTCTCTTCCTCAAGAGCAACCTGAAAGGCATAGGGACTTGGTAGCTGGCCCAAAGCTGTTATCTTATTATTGCATCACATAGCTGGCTGGTTTGGGTCCTTTATTATAGGGAGTCCTCATGATCCTGGACAGAAATAAAGGAAGATTCTGTCTGTTGGATATAGTTTCTTTGGTAGGTGACCCACCACCCTTTTTTTTTTTTCTTTATACACAGGTATTACCTCAGTTTGATATAACAGCTGAAACCCAGTTTCCAGCACACCGGAAACACCGTCCCCGAGACCAGGCAAGACACTTAACTCGAAGATCTGCCTGCAAGTTCCCATGTCTAACCTTTGAGAGTCCACCGTCTTCCAGTTCAGAGACATTGTTGATATCCGTCAACAGAGAAGAGCCCTGTCAGTCAGAAAAGGACACTCCCAGAAGGCCTTTAGTGCCGCTGCTCAGTCCCCAGAGTTGTGGGGACCTGTCAGTGCACTCCCTTCAAAGCTTACCTCGTGTGTTCATGCCCCCTGATATCCAGACACCAGAGTCGTCTGTAAGGGAAGGTCCCATTTCTGTAAGGGAAGGTCCCATTTCCCCAGACCAGAAAGAAAACAGTCTTCCAGATAGCATCCTTGGCCTGAGAACTCCTAGCAGCCCAGAGCCTGGGCCTGTCCTGGTCAAGGACACCCCTGAGGACAAGTATGGGATAAAGGTCACATGGAGACGAAGAAGGCACCTGTTTGCCTACCTTAAAGAGAGAGGGAAGCTGGACGAGAGCCAGTTCCTTGTGAAGATCTGACTGCATGTCATGGACTTCAGCTCATCTCCAAAGCTGCTGACGGTCATAGTTTCCAAAGTCTCTCTGGCTTGAAGGAACGAAATGGAGTGAACACCAATAGGAGGAAGACTTAGCTAGAGGCCTGGAGCTGGGTTTCGGCTTCTAGATTTGAATTTTAAGCCACCTCGTATTAGGAAGAATTGAGTTTAGTGTCATGAACTGTTGCTATTTTTCTCATATTAACTGCTTAAACCTCTAAAGTATCTCATACTGTTTACGATGTTTGCAAATAAATGGCTGCTCCAAGTTTTTAGAGAACCCTGCTTTTGCCAGTCGTGCAGCCCATTATAAAGGTCTGTGCTGATTAGTCTGCCTCAAACTTGATTCATTCCACATTTTTTTGGTTCTGAACTCGAGGTTTGGTGACAGATTTCACTGATGGAGAAAATCAGAGTAAACTCGTTTCTAGTTGTTGACACCTACCCTTACAACTTTGACTCTTCTGCCCAAAGGGCCACAAGCCCTGTGTTGATAGATACAGTGGGGCAGGGGAGATACAGGACAGATGAGTGAGTTTGTGTTTTGAGATTCTGGCGATATCACATGTGGAAGGGAAATGGATTCTTTTTCTTTCCTTTTATTTTATTTTATTTATTATGTATACAACATTCTGCTTCCATGTATATCTGCACACCAGGATGGTTGTGAGCCACCATGTGGTTGCTGGGAATTGAACTCAGGACCTCTGAGAGAGCAGCCAGTGCTCTTAACCTCTGAGCCATCTCTCCAGCCCGGAAATGGATTCTTACAGTAACTGTGTGTACATAGAGTGGATGGGCACTTCCCAGTGATCGATGGAAGGGTTGCCTCTGCTAATAAGTGTCTCAGTGTTCCTCTCACTCATACAAATAGCATCTCTTTCAACCCTTCTCTTTTAGCATCCAGCGCCTGCAGAGCTTATGCTGCCCTTTATATGGGTGAGAATTTGATGCACAAAAAGTGAAGCAATCCAGGGAGGGGGCTAAGTGAGTGCAGTGTTCTGCCCTCCTAGTCTACGTATGTACCATATTTCCTAGTTTTCAAAAGTTCATTTCTGAGGGGTCGCTCAGCGGTTATGAGTGGGATGCCCAGGTTCTATGTGAGAGCCTTGGGCACCAGGATGCATATGGTACGCAGACATACATGTAGACATAACATCCATACACATGAACTAATAGCCTGGAACATGGAGACACTTGCCTTTAATTCCAGCACTAGGGGGCAGAGGCAGTCAGATCTGAGTTCCAGGCCAGCCAGACTATGTAGTGTGAGATCTTGTCTCTAAATAAATACATCAATTTTTTAAAAAGTAAAAATTTGAATTCGGCATCAATGTGGCAACTTTGGCTTTACAGTTTAAGTCTACGTGCAGTAGCTCTAGTCAGCAAGTCCTATAGAGACCAGAACCAGAAAGGAACTGATGCTGGAGGCATGAGTTACTGCAGAGAGGTCAGGCTTAGCAACCTCCCTTATGGGATAAGGATATAAGTCGGTCCCCAAGTTGGGGTCCCTCAGTCGGGTTTTGGGTGAGGGTTGGTGTTGCAGTCTGAAGGCCTTGGGCATCCCTGCCTTGCGGCAGAAGTTCGCAAATCCCTGGACCACAATCCTTGCAGCACCCTGGGTGTTCTCATTGCGACAGTGGGGTCCTGGGAGTCGCTCTGAAGGAGGCAGCCGAGGAATGAAGCAGCAGGAGACACCCTCGACGGCCAACTGGGATCCAACCCGGGGGGTGGGGGTGGAGGGGCGCACCCCGCTCCCGCGCACGCGCCTTCCCCCCCCGGTGCCTCCCGCCCCCTGGAAACCCTCCAGCATCGCGGCTGGCGCCCTTAGCCAGTGAGAGGGGAGCGGCGGGCAGT